AATAAAAGCTTTCAACGGGAGAGTAAAACTGGCACAATACCTGAGCCACCACTGCCTGCCATCGTCAGTTTTTTTTGCCTTCCCCACACAGAAGGTAGCATGTGCTTGGGAATCAGCTGCACTGATTCATTGCTCTGAGGCTCTGGATAAGCCACTTAATCTTCTGGTACCCATATGCCCTGATCAGCACAAAAGCTAATTTAACCCCAATTCCCTGGTCGTCCCTTCTGGAATGGATAGATGAGCAGTGTTTGCGGAACACAGTGAGCTTAAAAACAGGTATCACGCCCACCCTGGGTACCATTCAGATTGGCAGGCTTGAAAACGGGGGTCTCTAAGGGGAGCGAGGGAGGGGCGACTAGGCATGGAGAAGCCAGGAGAGGAATCCGGAAGCCAGGGGCTCTGACGCTAGCACTTGGAGCTCCTTTAGGGAGGAAAACGGCCTTCTGGACTCCCAGGTGGCCAAAGACAGCAGAGGCCCAGAAATATTTGCTGAATGGAAATGAACTAAGCCAAGAGAGACTGAACCTGTTCGTGTCAGCCCTGCAGAAGCCGCTGTGAGGGCACAGTGGGAAGTTAGGGGGTGAAACTGAGTGGAATCATATATAGAAACTAGCAGATGCCTGGCATGTGGTACACACTCAACCTTGGATGGCGATTTGGATCTGGAATTATGAGGGGATGACACCTAGAATTACACCTGAGTGCTCAACCCAGCCCTTCTGACTTTGCACTCCCCTATAAAATGGGGAACGAGCGTTCTTCCCACTAGTCCCTTGGGGGCTTTATGCAACCAACAAGAAAGAAGACGAAATTAACATACTTGGTAAATCACAAAACATAACCACATTTAGTTTGAAATGTCTCATCTTACATTAAAAAGCACAGTGGTTCCCGGTTGGGTGAACAGAAGAACCCAGTGCTGTGGGCAGGAGAGCAGCTGGGCAAAACACCAAAAATTCCAAAAACGTATCATCTCTGTGATGCAAAACTTAATCCACATTAATGGGTTTATCCTAAGGAAAGAATTGGTCACGTAGGTACGAGGTCATGTACAATGTGTAGGTATGAGGCTGTTCGTTCCCGGGTTGTGGGGGACGTGGCGGTGTTGGAGGGGTAGAGATAATCAGATAATTAGATAATCAGGGGGCTTGGTCATCCCCTTATTAAACTGATGCCTCTGAATCTTAATTGACAGAAAACAGAACAGCCATAACATCCTGTCACGGAAATACTCAGGGGCCAAGAAAATGACAGCGTGTGATCCTATTTGGTTTTTAACTAGGTTTGTAAACAGGTAGATAGATTAGATGGATAAATGATAGATAGGTAGATAAATAGATGATAGATAATTTTTATGTAATTTATAAGAACATACAAAGAATCTGCATGAATCATGTATAAATAATATATATTCTATGTATACATAGTGTATATATATACTACATATAGATGTGTGTGATATATATAGAGAGTGTGTGTGTATAGAGTATGAAAAGATACATGCCCAAATGCAAAATCTGGTTATTCTTAGCCACTGGTATTATGAGAGTATTTTTTTTAACTTGTCAAATCCCTAATTTTCCCACAGAGAATATATATCATTTGCGCGATTTTTTAAAGCAAATGCATTCAAGATCAAGTTACCTCTGCACATTCCCCCACCCCATCATGTTCCCTGCCCCATGACCACCACCTCGGGGGCCCCAGGACTCACCCTGGACCACCAGCTCCACGTCCCGATGCCGAGAGCCGGCCGTGTTGGTGGCCACACACCGGTACCTCCCCACGTGCTCCTGCAACGCTCGGTCAAGGTGGAGGCTGCCATCCGCTCGGATGGAATGCCGGTTACCAGATGGGAGCTGGTAGGAGTGAGGAAGCACCAGCTTAGCCTCGGGCCTCACTCAGAGGCAGCTGACAGAGAACCCTCGGGAAACTACGCTGCCCATCAAGCCAGCAGGGAGCAGCCAGGACTGAGAGTCCGGGGGCTCAGAGAAGGCTGAGGAGCTCTGTGAGTCCCTGCCGAGTGCCCAGTCAAGACCTCCAGAGACCCTGCAGGGCTGGGTGGGCCTGACCCTTGCATACCCTGACCCCACCTCTCCCTCGGCCAACTGGACCAGGGTGGGCCTGACCCAAGCTGGGCCCACGAGAGTCTCTCCTGGGAATGCAGAGTTG